ATTCAAGGGAAAAGTATAATTCGGTTTTCACAAACTTTTCGAATCCCTGATTAATTTTGAACCCGACCTGACGTTACACTTGCATTCAGGGTTTCCAAACTACAAGCCGTATATTTTCCGCGTACGGAAAACCATACATTTCCTTACGGTATTAGGAGAAGTCCATATGGAGTTCATAAAATTTAGCAGTGGGTTTGAGTCATATTGGTAACTTCACAAGCCACAATCCTACATGCAGAGACGTGACGTTCTATTAGCGGGCATTTCATGGTATTAAAAAAACTTACGACTAGAAACTTATAAAAAACCTAATTATATACTCTTTCTTCGATTATAAAATTGGAAGAAGGCGTAATTTTCAACCGAATGAGTAGAAGAACGAATATTTTTATGCATGTCTCCCACGAAATATAATTAAAATTTTAAGGTCATCGTGAATCAATGAGAAAAATTCATGCTAATTAGGCAGTCATTTTTCACAGATTGTGATTTTTGCATGCAGCTGTAAAGGAATTCGTTCGAAGGCCGCCATCTCATGGTGACTGATTTATTATAAAATTATGCTGCAAGATGATTGATTTTACAACGCTACTTCGGCAGTCTTTTCGAAACGATAATGCATTTCAGAATTTCAGTTAACATTTCTTACGTTAGCCCACCTTATGTATGCAATCTTATGGGATCGAAAACCTATTTCGGAATTTCTGTAACCATTTAATGCAATGGCACATCTACTGTACACGGCAGCTACTGTGGTCGCGGGAAAACAAACTTTGTTGGCTTGGCGTCTCGCATTCTTACTCGAACCCATCATCAGAGACGATCGCAGACGGTTTGGAGTAAGAATCTGTGACGTCAAGCCAATAGACCTTCTGGTTCTCCTGACTGCTGCTAACGCATTCAATAGTTAACTGTTCGCACGCACACCTTCACACATACTAAATAAATTTCCCCGAGATAATTACACGAGGCCTACGATCATGGAACGGTTAATCATGTAGGCCGAGGGCGGCACGCAGCATATTAGGAAGAAATGTCCTACTTCTGTCAAATTAAACATTCCCTTGTGATTTGTTGCACTGTAGAATTTATTTTAGGAACTTATGTATGTCAGATTAAAAGAGATTGAATAGTAAAACTTCGAAAAAGTAGTCTACCTTGTCCATCAGCTGTCTAGGTAATCTAAGTATTATGCCATACCGGTCCAGTGTGGGGAAGGTCATTTTTCTACATGCGTACATGTCTGGTACTTTTATTCCAGTAAATCGTACAGTCATGTCGTCAACAAGTTTTTTTGACTGATATACGTTGCCATTCTTGCTTGCGTTTCACAAAATACCTTCTTTATTATTTTCCACCACAAACAGTTGGTTACTGTACTAGCCAGTGTGCAGGCAATTTTGGAGTGGGCGTGATCATCTCTTCAATATGACCACATTATGCAGTCTCTGAACACCCTTACTTTGGGTCGGATATGCCTCCCAACACGGCATACAGACTACTACATTCCCCTCCGGCCTGCTTATGGACACCCCATAGCTAACAAACTACCCTTGCACAATCTGCCGTTCCCCATCCTTGAAAAGCCTTCTGCAATGGAATTTGTAGGCGTACGGTGGACGGCGCAATGGCCCCTTTTGGCCATAACAATTATCACACACCCGATGCCTCCCTGTTGTTGCCCTTTTCCGAGAAAACGTCAAAACCTCCGCCCTAAACTTTCCCTGCACAGCGCCGACAACGCACACACTCACACCTGACTGGCCAGTCCGTAGGTCAATACGGTTTATGATCCAACCCGGTCAATGGCGTGAATGCATAATGTGCTAGGTCACTTCCTGCCTTCTCGTAAGCTGCTTTCTCAGTCTCAATGTCATTTACGGGGTTCTTTTGGTGTATTAAAACAAAATTTGGCGTAAATTTATTTTTTTAATTATCGCGCACTATATTTCCTGCTGTTTGGCACGTTTTAGGGGCCCCACCCATACAACCCCTCCTACCATCATTCCCGTAGGACAATTGGACGGGGGAAGAAGTTTTCTTAGGTGTCGCGACATTGTATTCCCGCCGACAGGGGTAAGAGGGGGGGAGTAGGAGGAGGGGTTGGTTGGCCAACGGATGGATGGGCAAATATGAAACTAGGTTCTCCGGTGAAGGCGAACTGAAAGAAGTTAGAAAGGAGTACCGCCTTAACCTGGTCATCAGCCTCCGCTTTTCCACCTGCAGACTTTAGGGCAAGAACGTTTGTGACTAGACTCAAGCTTGGCTCTACTTGGCTGTCGTCAAAATCACTAAAACTTGCTGGTTCCACAGGAACACCACGTTCCCCTGCATCATTGACTACTTGAAAATAGCAGATCCACTCTCACCAATTACAAGTCTCCTTTTTAGTTCCGCCTCTAATACACGGAGTTTCAGAACAACCACTGTAGTGCAGCAAAAAGGATAAAACCCTCCTTGAGAGGACATGAATTTTTTGGTTTTTCTGAAAAGAAACAGTGTTGCTTCTCCTTTCCTACCCAAAACACTATTAAAAGTCCTCCATCGCATACATTTTGACTGACGCTAGCCTTTCTCAATCTTGAAAGCTGTGGGAACGGTTGCTTTTTCCTCAAAAAGAGCAAACTGTCCGGCAGGTGTTAGAATGCATTAACGTCAGTGGTGGTTTTATCCTCCGGGGTAGGGGCAAATGAGCCACTCATATTCTAAACGACTACGCAATTTTGGTTGTTAAGGGGACCCCTTGTTTTACTTCTGACTTTTTGTTGACTGACGGCTACGAGGGGTCTAACAGAGCCGGCTTCGGCTTCAGACTTCTGTAGTGGTGTTTTCCACTCCTACTGGTTGAAATTCATTCTTTCGACATTGAACTACATATTTTGCAGAATACTTGGGTTAGATGACAGAACTTGATGGCACCGACTTACCCGGTGGCACACACGAAACAAAATGTTCGTATTCAGTTACTTCGGAGCAGTTTTTAGGTCAAAAGAATTGCGTTTCATATAGCGCCGCACCCAGGGCTCTGACTACCCCTTGAGAACGTCAATTATTCGGCCGTAAGTGCGGACTTCGAGGCGCCAATGCCAAACGGCTCGCGACAATTCGATAAGGGAATCTGCCACCATTGTCAGCAGCTCCCCTCGTATTATAACTTCGGAAAGTTTGCGACTTATTACTCATGCAAAAAACAGAAAAATCTGTTCGAAGCCATCGTAGCTGACGGAAAACTTACCCTCGTCTTCCAGCGCAAGAGCTCGCTCCTCAGTCGGGAATAAAAAGTTTGAAGGGCAAAGCAGTTTCATGGTCCTGAGAATGACCCGTCCTCCTTCGGAAACCTAGAGATCAATTTCCCGAAAAGGGCTTCATTTATTTTACAACAGATGCAGAAAAGACTGAAAGTAAGATCAGTATTTGCGCAAGATGCAGACCTATCCTTTATTTGTGTTTCGTTTATGCCGTCTAAAAATGCACGCTATTATCCTGTTGATTACCTTGCTTTCGTGTCCACAACTATTGTTTTTCCTGTTGAGTAATACAATTTTACCTGTGTCAGTGGTCGTAATAATGTCACAGAGTTTCGGTTACAGCCACACCACATCTTCACAATCGACACAAAACTAAATTCTTCTAATCAACCAGAACTAAGCGTTGACTCCGAAACTGCTTGAGGTACCGTTTGGTGTTTGTTTTCGACTCAGAAACAAGTGAATTCTCTCATTAATCGTACTATTTACATCACATTCGTGATCTCAAAGAAACAGGCAGGAGGCATTATATTTTACTGCACTGAAATTCCAGCGGAGGAATAGGATAGGTCGCGGCCTGGTCTCTCCGTTCCTCCGTGTACGGTCTCTGGACCAGGAACTCTCCTAGATTCCTAAAAGTCGTTTGGCGTTATTGAAGAAATGACCTCAGCTTGTCAGTACGAATACGGATTTGGTGATGGCCCACAGTCTCAGGTAGCATACAGCTGGACCACACCAGACAATTTTCCACCGCAATATTTACTCACAGGGCAGCGCACTGCCGACTTGACTGAATGCGCAGCTGACAATATTGACTCATTTAATGAATCATCATACAATTACGTGGTAAACGAGGATTACGCTACGGATTTTAATGGGTATTACGCGGCGGAAACACAAGTCAACCCCAATTGTAATTGCCCTCAGACAAAAAACCGTCACGCAACACCATACAGAAGTCTGAATGGCGAGAATCTTGGACGTTGCGCTACCCGCTCATGTCAGAAGCAAGGCAACGTAAACTGTAATTACATTGGTCAGTCGGAATATACTGTTTGCGACTTGTCGACGCCTGCTGACTCTGAGTGTCCTAACGTCTATGACCATAACGACCAGTCTGCTTTTCAGTGCGAGTTAGCAACCACGACGTATAACTTGCGTCCGAGTCCTGCTTTCTACCCAGATTCCAATATTTCTTATATTACTTGTCACGACAAATATAACAATTTCCAACCAGCATTAGATCCTCCCCAGACAGAATTCACTCATGGTGTCCTCGCATCGCCTCCCACAGCTACCCAGTGCGTTTCGTCTGCCTACTCATATAGACCCGATCATGATGTCTCTTATCCTGTGCGTCCTCAACCGGAATGGACGAATGAGTTTTATCAGCCGCCTCTTGATTACGATTCCCGGTCCGCAGATTCGCGATTTTTACCTGACCCGGGTCAGTCAAATACTCCCTTGGTGAGTCTATCCAAGGTTCCTGTTACATGCGCTTACGACGCTTATTTCGTCACTGCCCATACTGCTGGCGGCACCCATTCCTCTTTACCTAATTACCAAATCGGGCCTGCCAGTGCAACGGAGACTTATCAATCAACAGCCGATGACACTAACCAACCTACGTACCCTTCTGAGTTTACATCTTATACCGGCTCGCGGATCCACCATTCAAACGGATCTTGCCGCGAGTATTGTCCGTATACTGTACAGTTTGGATCTGGGATCCCAGTCACTTGTGAGCCAACGATGTTGGCGACCGATGTTCAATCTTACCCTTATTCGTGCCCCAACGCAACAGTTGATGCCGTCAATAACTTCGGTGCACCTCAGAATCCCGCTTCAAGCTCAAGAAGTCGGCAACAAAACCAAGAAGATTTAGACCTTCGACATTCCTTCAAGCCGGTAATAATTTAGAAGAACATGTTTATTGCCTATTCTTTTTCCCCGGGAAATCGAGGGTGTCGAGGCTCTTTCATTTTCATTAGCCCGATCAGATTTGTACTTAACAAACTATCATAACAGCATTAATGTCCCTGTGTTTGTTTTCATCGTTTTGGGCTGAATTTTAAACAGCTTTTGCCCTCAGACTAGCTCAACACGGGTATTCGCCCGATATTTCGTCGTGAGGACGTTGCTTTGCATAATTCACTTGTCATCGCCTGTACCTGTTACCGTCCTCTTCTGGAGCATTACTAGTACAGGAAGCTTCCTAATGTCGTCTTGTGTGCCGGTCTGTCTCCAAAGGCACCGTAGTAGTCCCATTTCTTCACTCAACGCGCCATTTCGCATCCTGTAAATATAGTGGACATTGTTGTCTTTTAATGGTTCACTTATTCCACAACACTTCAGAAGGCCTTTCCCAATATCATTTCTCAAATCAGTTTCCAATAGAATTAACTACTTCGTCCATCGATTTAATCAGGATCTTCGGTCGCATCTGCTTAAACATTAATATATAATCTCACGTTAATCTCGTTTAAAAGTGACCTTGAGTCTGGCAACTTATGCGGTTTGTCTGATATTGTCTCTAATAATTCGTACAGTTCTCAGCCGTTAGACAGGTACTCGCTAATGCGCACACCCTAATGTGTTTATGTTACGTTCTGCGAAACTTCAGGCACATTCATCTTGCGAGCCAGCGGAACCGAATAAACCTTGTCATCTTGAGCCGTCAACAGATCAAGAAAACTTCAATGAGGCGCCAGTTAACATGCCATTTGAACCACCCTCTGCCTGCTGTGCCCCAGATCACAGTGCGCGATTCTCTTGCTCTCAATGTCACAAAAACTTCTCTCGTTACAGTCATCTGGAGGCTCACCTCCGGGTGCACACTGGTGAACGGCCTTTCTGCTGTTGCATCTGCGAGAAGACATTCTCACAGGTGGCTAACTTAAGCCGCCACTTGAAATCGCACAAGGTTTGGCCGAGACTCCGTAACGTGGCCAAGGTATCGAACAGCCCTGGTTCGGTCGAAAACGTGTTGGTGAAGCCGTCCAGTTCTATTAATGAAGTCACCAAGCGTGTCCAGGTATCATTTTGTAGGAGCTTTTTGTTTAAGTGCCACCATCTATAAGTTGATGAAGCTTCAGTAATAGTGTCCTTGTGCGTGATGTAATTACTTTTACTTTCACTGCTCTCACTGTTCTGCATTGTTCCATATTTTCACTCTGCGCCTGGCGTCTCGGTCTCGCTATTTTGATGCTCAATTCTATTTGAAATGACTTTGAGGTAAATATATGCTCACGCATCGGAACTATCCCAGCAGGCAGTTAGACCGTCCAGTCAGCTATCTATATTCTACTCCCTGACCATGTCAATGGAACTCATCAACTATAGTCTCGGTCTCTGCTTTCACAAGGTCGGCAAGTTCTAGACAGTGATATCCTTCTTGGAGGGTAAGACTTTCTAGCGATATGCTTTGCGGAATACGCAATTTGTCGGACCGGCTTCAGCGGCTAAACCTACATTCAGGCTGTGGCCGCCTTTTAATCAAAACGGTTCCGTTTTACCTACTGCCCAATACCCGTATGCGTTTTCTTTGTGGAATAAACCCACCTACGTTATAAAAGAGGCTTAGCAGCCATCTTCGGCCATCCGACGTCTAGGAGAAGTATATTGAGCTGCAGCTCCTCCCCCTCCCTTTTCACCCTCCTCCTCCTCCTCCTCCTCCTCCTCCTCCTCCTCATCCTCATCCTCATCCTCCTCTTCCCCATCCTCATCCTCCTCTTCCCCATCACCCTCATCCTCCTCTTCCCCATCATCATCATCATCATCATCATCATCATCATCATCATCATCATCATCATCATCATCATCATCATCATCATCATCATCATCATCATCATCATCATCATACCCAAGTTTATTATAAGAACTCGATGACCAATGCGCTTTTGAGACATTCGAGTGGTTTGCCCGAACCTCCGGCTTCGTGACTATGCGTGACTGTCGGCTGATTTTGATTATGAGGGGACGCCTTTAAGTGGATGAGCAGTGCGTCATAAATTATGGTTCCACAGCAACCCCAGGTCTTCAGTACACCCTAGCGCTCATAACAGCCTATAAGCTGTACCTCTTCCACTTTGTGAATTCTACAGTCGCAACTACCTTCTAAACCTTAAGAGCAACATGCCTTTTTGAATCCAATAAGTTTTATGAGTCCTTATTTTCTATTTTTTCCTAGACTTATTATAAATTCCCGTGGTCGCGTTCTCTTTGTAGATAAAACGGGTGTCTTCCTCTCCCCTGGCATTGGGGTCATCGACGGGCTCATCTCTACCGAAAAGTTTTTATCTTATTGATAGCCAATATGAATGCGGCTTTTGTTGGAAACGTTTTGACAGTTTCATCGCCATAAAGTCTCATTTGGTCAGGCACAATGATGAAAAGGTACAGACTGCCATCTTTGCTCTTTTGCCCTAGACTTTTTCATTATATACGTTTCCCATTAGTCGCATCGCTCATCAATGGTCATCCAATTCTAGGTATTCCAATGTCTTGTGGCCTCTTGTGGTGAGACATTCAAGGAAGTTGGGGACTTTCTGGAACATCTTTCCATTCATCGGCTCTCCGATCCCAATTGGCTCCACTGCAAGCAGTGTAATAAGCAATACAACAGTAAGCACTCCCCATTTTCCATGTCTTATCATGGCCCCAATGTAGTCTCTTTAGATATGGCCTACCGTCTACTACATTAGTCTTAAACCGTAGCGGTCAGCCAGGCTCGCTTTAACCTATTACCTACATATGGCATTTAAGTTTTCTCTGTTTGTAAAGTTTGTATTCGTACTAGGTTTTTCGGCAAAGTTGGTGTCATTGGCTATTCCCGTATCTTTTTATACGCCCCTATTGTATTCCTATGTCGTTATCTGTCAGCCTCTCGAAGACTGTGTTCTATACTGATTGGCAGCCTCACCGGCCCTCCATTTATTTCTGAATCTTGGTATCTTATAAGCATACTTGCTTAAGACAGTCTCGATTGGATTCCACCAGCTATTTTTGTAATTACTGCCTTAAAGTGACAGACGCAACTAAGACATTCATAATTCGAACCAGTTAATTTGTAGCCGTAGATGTGATGACTTCAGTGGCTCTTGGATCCGTCCTAAAAGTCTTTCTGGACCGCCTTTGACACCGCCTTTGCGACTCCGCGTCGAAGGAACCAGACGTTGCTGCTGAGCTTCTAAAAATCTATACAACAAATACAATAAACCATGAAAGCGTTTCGCTAAGTGTGACGATATCTCAGACTTGGTCACCCTCTTCCGACTTGTCACCTTTACCGGTGCTTGAGGGTCATAAGACGAAAACCTTTCCATATCTGATGTTGATGACGATGAACAGGATGCTGAATGAGGTGGTCTCTTGTCATGTGCTTTCAGCCATCGCGGAGCTCTTCGAGCATTACGCGGGCAAGGGTGAGATGCAGAAAACAGCCTGCCGTCCTCCCGCCGCCGGCGACGACAGCCCGACTGAGCTGTGCAGCCAGACGCCTGCCAATATGGGGCCATCTGAACCACCCAAAAGTAGCCGAAGACTTGTGCTGCTACCCCTATCGCGTCTTTCTTCAAGACGATATAGCAAAACTTCACGCTTTAGGTACGTTTCAGTGGATGATTGCCTCTAATGTGGCCTTGTTCGCGCTCCCCCTTTTCCGACGGACACTATCTCCCCATATCGCCCACACCTTGCAGTTCTTTCCTCACGTCAGTCCTCTCTCTCTCTCTCTCTCTCTCTCTCTCTCTCTCTCTCATTCCGCCTCTGCTTTCAGCATATTTGTCGCCATGACTTTATGTGCGGAACCGTCGTTATCAGGCGCCCAGTAATGACTAGAATGTGTGTTTCAGCCTCGCGGGAAAGAAGCGCTGGCGCTTGGACTCCTAAAAATTACCTGTCATTACCATTCACGGGCCTCTTCGGCAGCACTTTAACTATGTCGATATTAAAGAACCCGTAGTACGTAGTCCGTTCTCCCCCGTCTACGCTTTATGAGTTGTTGTTCTACAAACTGGTAGCATGACAATTGTATTTACTTGTGTGCGTATATACGCAGACTTTGAAAACAGGATTGAAACCAACATGTTAGGCCCGTTTTCGATGAAGAATTACTGACAGAGGTCACTGTAATGCTGACTTCCATTTCAATCCTTAGTTAACAAGAAACCATTCGAAACATCAGATACCATTCAGGACCGGAAGAACGTGTGTGCTACTCCTTCTGTTCGCTTCTTCTTGTTCGGTTGTCTATGAGATTTAGACAGCACTTTCATGGCAAAATCCGGCTATCTCGGATGCACTTTTAAAATCAGGCTCCTTGACTTTTTTTTCTTTGTAAATAATCAGTTTTTTGCTGTGTCACGTAAGCCAATTTCTTCTGTGAGAGAATTTCAGAGCGCATGCAATGGCGTTAAACCATGTTTCCTTTTTTCAGGTGCCCAGTCTGTAAGTTCCGACGGTTTGCCCGAGTTGGCCTTCTGCGTGCCCACCTCTTGAGCGACCACCTCCACAGCCGGAACGCTAATGTCTGCACGAAACTCAGCCGTCCGTAAGTTCACAGTGACTGACCGGTCTAAAATGTCTGTTCCTCGATTTAGTTCTTTCATTCTGGTTGCGTCTGTCTCCGTGAGACAGTGGTCGCAGACGGTAGTCGTACTCAGGCTTCCGGTGCTTATGGATTTCGTCGTACCAACTCTGATGGTATAAACGCTGCTTCGTCTCATGCGTTTGTCGAGTGTACTTTCAGAGAGGAGGGAAACTACTTTCTGGACCCCTGTTCCCCGGCCCAGCGCATCAGCTTTTCAGCCGGCTCAGTTTCCCCTTTAGACCTGCTCCTTCGTTGCCTAGAATCAGCTGCATTTCTACTCAATTCCTTCAGTAGGCTCCCGAGAGTGTCTGCTGGGTGTACAGTAGTATTGCGACTTCTAGGGCCGGGCCCGGTGGCCGATTATTGCGATTTCAATCCTAATGTGGTCATTTATAAGTACCGCACTATTTCTACTTAGTTCGCAACTTAGGAAAGTAAAAGAGCAAGGCGAGCTCTAAGAATTTTGCGGGCTTATGAGCGTGTCGTTTCTAATCATTTTGGGTTCCCCAGAACTGCAGTACTGCAAACCATGGCCTGCTTTCAGCCGACAGAATAAAGATCAGAGCGTAAACATGAAATGGTAAATGCGATTTGGTTGAACCCGGCCAGAAATCCATCTATGCATGGTGAGCTCAGCCTTTCCTTCGTCATTATCAGGAATCTCATAAAGTAACATCTGCCGGTGCCGTCTTCAGTTCGGTTTTTACTAATGTGCCTATTCATATTGACCCAACTGTGAAAAACTCGGCGCCTCGGTGGGATTCGAACCCACGCAGTAAGGGGAAGGCTTTAGTACAGCCAACGCTCTAACCACCTGAGCTACGAGGCCCCGCCGGACGACGCGAGTTTTATCACACTTGGGTCAAGTTGCCCGCCCAACCTACTGCAACGTCTGGAATCCACCAAAGCTGATACAGTAAGTTGACTGCCCAAGCAGGATTTCCTAAGTAATTCACCCAGAATCCACCAGATGACTACTAGGCTCACGTAATTCACTGATATTTTGGCAGATTTTGAATAATTCATATTGACCCAACTGTGAAAAACTCGGCGCCTCGGTGGGATTCGAACCCACGCAGTATGCGTGCTCCGAAGAGGTGAGCGGAACAAACCTTGTTACCGAAATAGTTTAAGTAGTATAGGTATGGACACTATAGGTCAACCGGAACGCACTAAACCACACGTCGCTGAAACACGCTAGTATGTTTGATAACATGTAACTTTCAGAGAGGGTAATACAAGGGGAGGAATATGTTTCTTTATGATGTTATAATGGTGCGTATGGCTGTATTTGCCAAGCTTCCTCTTAAAGGTGTCCACGTCCACATTTCACGCCTTAGTCACATTCGGGAAGATGAGCCTCCTTGCGTCCACTCTCACCCCAGTCACACGTAATTTGAGGGGTTGTCCTCCCAAGCTAATGGTAGGGGCCGGCTCAAGGAATTCGCCGGATACGAGACAATAGTCCTGACTCCTCAGCATACGAAGGACCTGTATTAGGTCGCTGCGCAGCTGCCTGTAGTTCGAAAGAGGTCAAGATTGAACTGTCGTGTTTCATAAGTCAGATATCGTCGGCCTTGGACAAGCATAGTTGCCCGTCGTTGGACCTTTAAGGGTGCCGCTGCCTTTGATGTTCCGGGCTCTCCAGGTCTGAATGGCAAATTCTAGTTTTAGCCGAAGACCCTACCAAATCACACTTCGTCGAACTTCACAGAAGCCCGCTTGATGAGATACATGCTTGACATTGTGGATTTAGCTACTTTCAAGCAGTGCAATGATGACTTCAGTGAGTTCATGATCCACAGTCCTAGATCCTTCTGAGCCTCTACCTCTGGTAGTGGTGTGTGATTTAGATAGTACACCCTTCGGTGCGCAGCGCTGAATCTGCCGATTCGCAGAATCACTCACAAATGAATTCCTGTAAGGACACCCTGTTGGCGCGTCGGGACACCCTTCGGCGATAAAGTGCTGATCAATGAGGAATGCCTTCATCCCCCATCACAGTTGTGTCACTGACAAGTCCACTTGGCATGATGTCGTAGTCGCTCTGAGTGATCAGTTCGATACCTCACTTGTCCGCTGGGAACCGATGTCACCCACGTTTACAGCTATGCATATTTGCGGTGCTGTTATCCACGCCGCGGTTGTTGTGGTCGGCGCCCCCGCCCGGGACGCTCATGCTACAAGGGAAGAGGCCTTTACAATGAACTTTTGGAAACTTCGAGGAAGAAGATTCGCTAACATTTGCTAACATGAACAAGTCGAGTGAATTAATTCGTCAGCTAGCTAACCAGTCGGACCTTGGGCCATTATGGGTGCGTCTGCCGACCTTCAGAGTGTTGTCTGGCATGCCCCATGCGTGGTCTTGTCATGGTGGGGATTCGAAATGCTCGGATGAGGACATGTGAAACATGTGCGAGACGAGCCCTTAGCGACTACGGAGTTGAAAGCCATTGCGTCAACAGTGTGAAGCTTGTTGATTTTGAATGCTGAACCGCTTCCAACATCTAGTCAAGTGATGGCCGCAGTGACTCAATAATAGGGCGTCGGACTTGAAAATGCCCAGTGACCAGAGAATCTGATTTCGAATCCCAGTTCAACCGGACCTGGGGTTGGGCATGGCTCGCCGACGACAACTAATAAGCCAGAGATTGTCATCCTTTACTCCCTTGGTTTTGTCGGTACTCCTTTATGAACATGTGAATGTTGGTTATGCGACTACCTGCGAGGACTCAAACTCAGGCCCCAAGGCGTAACGGGGCGAGCACGCCCCGTAATCTGATCGGTGAACACTCTTCCTACGATGGCAGTCAGGATAATACAAACTGTATACTTGTTCGAGCACGCTGATCCCAGCGCTCTTCATGGCGTCAGCACCACCAGATGCGAGGGCGGTGGTTCAGACTACCTGTTGTTGGAAAAGTACGGTCTGAGGTTAGATGATATTTGCTGTCTCAACTATCTCATCACTGACAGTGCCTTCCGTCTGTCTGTTGCTATGGCTGCCAACAGCCGACGGCTGCGTTCGATTCCGTTCATCGTGAGTCCCTGCGTCGTATAATGGAGCTAGGGGGTGTACCGAAAAAGTATATGCCACGATCAAGGCCTACAATTGCTCAACCCTTGCGCTAGTTCTAGTCCATATCAGTATGTCCGAACCGTCCAATATTCGATTTGGCATCTGGCCTGGTTGTATTCTGCCGTTCATTTTGTTCAGCGACGCCATTGTGTAGATTTTCTAAAGGACAAGCAGCCACCTTGAGAATACGAAACCAAGCAATAGCAAAGTCAATTTTAGACAGACTCGGCCATAAGTAGGCCCTTATCAGCAGGCCAGCGCCCCAGTCCCGCCACATCTCTGTCAGCCCATTTTCATTGGCGGCGCTAATTTTTACACCCGGATTTTGAAGGAGACACGATCGCTGCGACGAGAGCTTTATTAGCCTGACGTTTCGGATTCCTGCTCGAACCCATCTTCAGAGGCAAAAGCAGATACGGGAGGTCCATGCACAAGGGGCTGCAGTATTTATAGGATGCAGTCGCCATGCTACTGCATTTCTATGAATATTCACGGCTCTCCCCTTTTATCAGGGATCGTTTCACTTCGTGTGATGACTGTTTGATGACCGACATTCGCATCGTTAATTGCTGCAATTTCACCAAGTGTGTTGGATGTTGGTGTGATGATTGCTCGACCATCTGACCCATTGACCCTGGCGTTGGGAAAAGTGTTCACCTGTGCGCTCCCCGCGTGGCCAATTACTCCGCCTAGGCGAAGTCTCAGCACCGAGTATGGAAGGGGAAGGTCATTGCACTTGTTAATGGACTGGGGGCCAGTAACACATAACTCGAGCAGCTCCTGGCTCACGCGGTTGTCACCTCTAGCGAGAATTTCGGCCTCCTCGAACTTGAATGTGTGGCCGGATCTCGTCGAATGAGCCGCAACTTGAGAGCTGGCGTCATTTCTCCGCACCGCTGCAGCGTGTTCAGCCATTCGCGTTCGGAGCTGTCTTCCGGTTTCTCCGACGTAGTTGCTTTGTCCGCAATTGAACCAGATCCGATAAACGACTCCCGATGTTGTTTGCCGTGGCAACTTGTCTTTCGGTCTCATTACCTGACGTCTGATGTTTGCCTCCTGTCTGTGTGCAACTCCAACCCCAAGTGGTGCGAGAAGGCGGCCGACAGCTTCCGAAACGTTCTTGACATACGGAAGTGCGCGCCAAAACCTGGTGTCCGTGCGGTTAGACCTTTCGTCCCTTTTGCGTATGCACCGGTTGACGAAGTTGTGCGGGTGGCCATTGGCTTTAAAGACCCGTCGGAGGTATTGTAGTTCGGCAATCTTGTCTTCCGGCTTACCGCAGTGCGTTTCGATACGCCGATAGAGCGTCCGTACACAACTGCGTTTGTGACTGATTGGGTGGTTGTTGTTGAAGTTCCGTACTTGCATCGTATTTGTCGCTTTCCTGAATACTTTGGTTTTTAGTCCACCACAATGTTTGGAGCATACGAGGATATTCAGGAAGGCCCGGGTGCCAACTGACTGACCTGGTGATGTCTTACTAGCCTCAAGCTTTAGTGATCTGCAGTCTGTGGTCATGGGTCAATGAAGCCACTAAATTCGTAGGTTTAGCTATAAATCCTGGGAAGATCAAACTGTTTTTGAGTTGCATTCCTGACCAGGAAGAGGTAACCCT